TTGGCACTTATTCCAGACATGCTGCGAACTCCCTGCTCATTTATTCCATGGCGCAGCCAGCCTCGAGAGACGTCAATTAAAACCCTTCACGTCTGTTCTCGTTCACACCTCCAAGCTGGTTGTCGCCGGTTGAGCCCATTCAATCAACCTAACAACGTACCATGTCATAGGCGCACGCTGAAAAAATATTAAACAGTTTTTAAAATTGGGAGTTTCCTTTACAGAGCGCATAGGTCACGGCGCAATAAGCATTTTTGCTAGGAACACATACACCAATACATTATATTTTGAAAATATTTGAATTGCCAGCCCGGCTCTGCAACAAACGTGAAAAAGTAGATCGATACCGCGAGCGTCAGTGCTCGAATCATGCATCGGGCGGTGTGTAGGTTGACCTTGTTGATTTCCAAATCTGATTTGCAAAAGCCCAAATTAGCACATTCTTATACAACAACAATGTTATTGATTTGAGGTTAGTTCACGATGTCTTTAAAATGTTACTGATACTTCGAGAGAGTATTCGGCTCGTTTTCCTGAATGTTTTTGTCCTGATCCGGGTAATTTTGTTTACATCGTGCAAAGACCGTCGAGGAGGACCCAATAGAAGATCTAGATAGCTTCAAATGACGAAAATTTTGGGAGAAGTTAAGAGATTTGTCTTTTTGAACCCAACGACGCCAGCTGCAAATAGTATTTACGAACAAAACATGTGATAGGGAAGTACTTGAAATTTCTGACCAAATGAATTTAACGCCTAAAACTAATCCTGCGGTTTTTCTATTCATAGGACTCCATTGTTTGGCCAGATAAAACCACATATTTGTTTATTTTTCAATTTATTGTACGACATTTCGGCCAACAGTGTGGTCTTTTCCAAGTACAGTTGACAGATTGTAATTGAAAAAGACCACAGTCGTGAGTCGCGGTCGAAACATTGTACAATAAACTGAAACCTTAAGATACGTGTGGTTTTGATTCGACCAGGCAATGGAATCCTATGAATAATGTTTTTACGTGTTCGCTGTGTCCCAAATTTCAGAACACTGCCCTAACTGAAACCATATTAAAATCAAAGTGGGCATCACAAGGAAAATAACTCTATGATAAACATATCACACTTTATATTGTTTTATACTGAGGCGTAAGCAGATAAGCAGCAGCCTAAATACCGCAGCATCGCGACTGCTACAAGGAGCTTAAAACACTTTGTAAATCCGATTTTGGAACTGCCTACCGTTATTAGATCGGGGAAAACCTCAGCAGGCTCCACAATCTGGATACCCTACGGATTAAGGAGCGGTCATACCGCCCAGTTCTGGATGTGCAAATTTCGACTCGGTTAGGATGGGGGCCGAAATAATGCGGATCTGTCTGGCAGGCACATCGCACGGCGACATCATGGAGGAGAGCTCTCAGAAGCAAAGCACATTGACATAGTAGAAGAGAGCCAGACCAACGGTCCGACGGTGCGAAAGGGTCCCGAGACTGTTATTGATCATTGATCAGTGATGAAAGCCTTCATCTGAAAAGCAGCGATGGATATTACAGTCAGAGTAGCATCACCCCAAATATGTGAGCAGTACACTGGATGCTAGGTCTTATCTGGAACTTGCACAGAGTGACGAGGTTACAGAGAAAAGGACTTCTCGAGAAAAGTACTTCTAAGGTCTAATCAAATAGCCTAGCTTTTCCCAGCAGCTGAGGCGATTAACGTCATGTGTTTATGCTAGGTGATATGGAATCCAAAGCCAAAATGAATGGCTCTTTTGACGAACTCAACCATCCATGGAAAACTGATGAGGCCGTTATTATTACCGAAATACAACAGCACACGTCTAGAATCTACCACTGTCAAAGTGAATATCAGTTATCTATTGGAACTGTTAATGTATCTCAGTTCGAGTCGATAGCCGAGTCACCATTATGACCGCTTGATGCCATTGATTTTGACGATATAGTAGATAGTCGTCTACTCGCCATTGAAAACTAATAATACTCGGTTGACCTCGAATCTCCTCCCTCTGGGAAAAAATCTCCGTGACCTCCCTCTTATTTGGTTCCTGTACCGAGATTGTTTATAATCAAGGTCAATTTCCAACTAAATCGCCATTTTGGCATGATTTATATTTTTATGCTTTGTTACTACAAGGTACGCTACTGACTATAAGCATCTCAATCGACGTATATGTGTCTATGCCTCCTCTTCTCATAATCACATGATAAAGATTTCCGGCGCGCATAGATTAACTTGGAACGTGTTGGGCTCTGTGCACCGGTGCTCTGCGCTCTACTAGCTCCCGCTCCCTCCCTTGAGCGCTACCGAATTCTAATTCTGAACAGCTCCCCGGGGGCTATAGTACAGTCACAGAGCTATAAGAAACGATTATGGGACTTAATATGTCCAAAAACTATAACAGAGTACAGCCTAACAAAGACAGAGAACTTAAATCCACATTTATAGTCGATCCTTGAGAATTGAGTGTAGTTCGAGAAATGATGTATCTTTGGATTTTAAAATCATCCCTGAGGGGCGTTCAAGCGACACTTTAACATATTTCAAAGTAGGGTGTACGCTTTAATAGTTTTTAATACGGGCTGTCATCGATGTCAGAAAGCTTTTTATTTGCTACTTAGAATTTAGGCGATACATTTTTCGAGAGTTTTTTTGTGTAAATGTTACCAAGCAGTGCAAAATAGGAAGAAGGACTAGACTGAAAAAAATCGACTTCGACATGAAGGTTTCATTTATATGCCTTCCTCTTGTATAAGCATACTTCTTACTTTTGTTAAAGCACGGCGTTTTAAAATATAGGAGCTATCTGGTTTATTTTATTTTCAACTATTATTTTCAGCTTGTCTGGTATTTGTACTAATGGCATCGTCTCCTCATCGTTCTTTTTTAATTCACTATTAATCAATATTTTGAAAATACGTTGATTTGATTGTGAGCAAAAGAATATTTGAGCTGTAAATATGCTAAACTGTCAAACGAGCTCTACAACAGGCATTGCAATGGTAGTTTCCTCTATTTAGTCTACTCCGCTCTGTGAATCCGATATTCGCTATAAACTCGACGAGGCATTAATTAGCTTTAAACCTCAAAAACTATTTGAGCGATTTTTTTTCGTTTTTTAATGCGTAGATTCAATGTCACTCTATCTATTTTTACCTATGGAATAGCAGTAGCCTTGTGTGAAAGTTTGATCAAAATCCTTCTAGTTTCCAAGTTATAGCGAGGCCAAGGATTAGCAGGCAGGCAGATCGACTTAAATGAGTGATTGGCTTTTTGTAATGATCTTGTCACATAACATCAAAAAGACATATCTTATTTTCGAAAATGTTTGCGATTACTAAACTACAATAACTGCACTACACGAAGGTTAGATGAATCCCTGCGTCATATCCAAAATCCGTCGGTCGTTAATTCTGTGCGAGTCCGTCTGGCATAACTCATCCTTAATTGCCTAGGGATGAGAGGAATTTAATTTTTAAACGGTTGGCACCTTAGCAGGCTTATTAATATACCTAGACGTCCCGGCATATCAGGTGTGACCACAAAAATGAACGCCAATTTCACTGAAAATTGCTGGTGATGGTCCATTCGTACAGTTTGATTTCTTATAAACCTTTTAACGCATGATAATCATAAAATATACGTTTCGCACAGATAAAAAGCTTAAGTAAATATTTCTTCCGTCACATCGTGTCTCAAAATTATACAGGGTGTCCCAAGTATTTTCGAAATGCTGACACTTCTGGCACGGGTATCACGTATCTTGAAAAGTAACATTATGGCGATTTTTTTTTTGACATTATGCTGTTTTTTTTTGACATTATGTAGGTTATTCTAAAAGATGTTAACTTAGCACTTAGTTGTACGCGTTGCTTAAACGTCATGAGGCTTGTTATCAATCTTTGGCTCTGACGTGATGTAAAATCTGAGATGGCATTACTGGAGGTCTAGGCCGTAAGTTGTATGTGTTGATGATAATTACATTGGGTTCTTGTCTCAAATACACTTAATTGAGATTCAAAGCTAGAAATTAGATGCGCATCCACTTTTTCTTATCCATTCTGGAAATTACATATACAAATTTGCTGTACACTGTCGAATTACAAGCCATACACATGCTAACAGTAATTACACACAACGCGGGCGCGGTGATGATTTCCTGTAATTCTCCTCAGTTTTTCATAATTCATAACTTTGAACATAACCTCTCTTCAGAAAGCACAACATATAAATAATCCGTCATATTCGGCATATTCAGTAATGATTTTCTCACACAGCAAATATCACTGATTTTATACACATGCAGACCAATAAACATAATCATCCAGATGCGATCTTGCTATTCATCGAACTTTCTTCTCAGAGATAAAAACTACAGACCCGGATCACTCAGCCTCACAAACCTATGCAACCAATAATGCATAGTTTAGTTGAGTGATTCCTCCATCGATGGACAACAATCCTAGTGAGCAAACGTGGAATGACTGTTTGCGCCCTAAAAACTACCTAGTCTGCAAGTTGACATCTTATAGGTTTTTTGACGTGTTATAGGTTTTTTACATGATACCAGTGCGGTTGTTCCGGAAGAAGATACCCCCTTGCTTATTTTAAATAGACTGTGTGTTTTTCAGTTTTTGGATTCTAAGAGATATTCTAAATACATTTCATCCGTATCATCCGATTTTGAGATATCTCAAATTTTACGTTTTGGCAAAAGCAAGACAGTTTTTCTCGTATTTTTTTAACACGCTTACATTAGCTTGGCGTGTATGTATGTACTATGTAACGGAACCTTTGAACCAAATTTTCACCAATTTCCAGAAGTTTGATTAATTTGAAACCTCGCACACGTATCAAGGAGCGATGACAATGCAATAATTTGATAACAGTTTTCCATTATCCTTATGAGAAAAATTCTGTAAAAAGCAGATTTGTTAATAAAAAGCTACCGAATTCATATGCCGCTTTACTAATATTGAAATTACAACCCTCTGTAGCTCAACGTGCAGAGCACTGGTCTTGTAAATCAGGGGTCTTGAGTTCAATCCTCACAGGAGACAGATTGCGGTATACCTTTTTTTATTTTTTTAGCACGCTTTTATTAGCTTAGCATATTTTTTCCAGAAGTTTGATTGATTTGAAACTTCGCACACATTTCAAGGAGCGCTTTTTACTCTGAATTCAATTATTCTGTTAATAACTTATATTATAATTTTATTTTGAGGTCATTAGTTATGATTTATTGTAAGACCATCTACTATGTAATGTACACTCTTTGTAATTAAAAATTCTTTTCTACTTTTTAGTTTGGTTAGCCATAAAAGCGGGTTTTGTAGTTATTTTAAACTTATCTATTTTACCATTGCTACATGGTTTGTTACGGGCTTCTCATAGTAGAGGACCTACTTCAGTAGATTTTATTCCGGACATGGATAGCAAATAGGTCAGGCTGGTCAAAAAAATAGAAAGTAAATTAGATTTTAGAAATCGATTTTCATCTGGAAACCACCTTCTTGTAATATAATTGTACTAAGCATTGGAAATGAGGTAATTTTTGTTTAGCTAGTAGTTTCTTCTATGGTCTTATGAAGTATTTAAGCAACAAATAAAACAACATGTCTATTATCATGAAAACTGGTGATTAGCGAAATAGACAACCTTCATTCTTTTTCTTGACTAACCCTGTACAATTTGTTACCCAAATCCGGAATAAAATCTACTAAAGTAGGTCCCCTAGTATATGAAAAAAGAAATCCATTACAAATTGTATGGCTAAGGCAGAAAATGCGAGATAAAATTATTATAATTCATTAGCCGACATTTGTTATTTGAAATATCTCAAGAACGGCTAGGTTTCGGCAAGATGGTATCTACCTCCAGTACTACTGCTACTATACTATAAACTGAACATTTTATAACTGCTTTTCGTCAACTTTTTGAGTGATCAGTCGCTGCAGTTCTACTCCTGTATACATATAGCCGGGCAGTAGTTGGAAATATATGCAAAAATGGTAACAAAAACATTGTCCTATCCCGCCAATTAGTCCAAGTTGTATCTTCTGTATCTGCTGGGAAAAATATTCTGATTCGAATTTATTGCATAATGTATAGGATCTCCTTTGAGTTTGCATGTTCTCAGATCCAAAATTGCTTCAAAAGTTGTTTGAACATTTTTTTAAACAAATTCCATTCTGACAAAGTATTTTGGGCGATTCTGAACAGAAAAAGTTCTTTACAACTTTCCTCTAAAGTTGATAGTTTCCAAAATATAAGCAATTTAATATTTGAAAAAATGCAAAATATAAAGCATTTTAGGGGGTATTGTATTTATAAACCTTTGTATTCTTAGTCATTGGCTTTGCGTGAGCACAAGAGATGAGAGATGCAGTATAGGTGCGACCGGCAGCTACATCTTTCTCGCATTTACACAGGGCTAGTCAAAATCATTTTTGGCGACCATCAACCAACAGTATTCAAAACTAAATTACCATGTTGCAAAAATACGTGAAATTGGTGAGCGTTCCATATACGAATTTAGTGAAACAATGCAGCTTCCGTATTCAAAATACCATCACATCATTCACCTACAGAACGCCCAAAATCGTGAATTTTATACATTTATTAGCAACATACTAATTTAGTTTTAAAGTCACTTGGTTGGTGCTCTCCACCCTTATATTTCCATGTGTACGCTAACAATTAAAAGACAAAGGTTTATAATAACAATGACCGCTTAAATGTTTTCGGATTTTGTTAATGGATGTTTGAAGAATGAAATTAACATCAAAATTTTCGTTTCTTCATATCGTTCTTCGGGGGCGAAAATAACCTATTTCGCACGTTTTCACATAATAAATTGCTTATACAAATATCTCGAAAACTATCAACCTTAGGGAGAAGTTCTAAATCACCTTTTTTTGTTCAGAGGGGTATAGAAAAACTAAAAACACTAACCGGAACAAAAAACAATGTTTGGACTTTGTTAAATAAACAAATTTTATTAACCATACTACCTAATCATACTGATCATCAATCCTACCAAATGAAAAAACTCTCCGGGATTATCTAATATTGTTCCGGATACCGCCGAACTTATTTCCACGGTTGGATAACGAAAATCGTCTCATCTCCGCCGTTATAGTCATTGGCTTCCTTATTCGAGCAAAAACGCGCCTGTGCTGGTTATGTTTCGACTCGACTTCCTTCGTCGAAACTCTGTTGCAACAGTAAATACGTAAGAGCAATTTTTCGGATTTCTGCTGATGTTCCGGTATGGATGGAGTTTTGCAACTGCATTGTCCCCGCCAATACCGAGTTGTTTGCACTTCACTTCCAAATGATCGGGAAACTATGAGCTCAGTTTAGTTACCGACCTCGCGCGCGTGGGCTTGAACACAAGTTCAACACCCATATTTTGGGTAAGCGTAGTAGAATATTAAAATAGATATCAAAATATCACCAACAGTGTGCAAGTGGCGTTCTTGAATGATTTGTTTTTGTGATTTTTTAATTCTTCGTTTACTCGGAGGTGAGTAAAATTTCCTAGTTAGTTCCAAGTGTTGAGATGTTTTAAATCAAATCGTTAGAAATCTGTGAAAAAGCGCCATTGAGCATCTCAAACATCCTGTTTAGGGCTTGATCATCAGCAACCGCTAGTACTATTTTTGTTGTAAATTAGGCATCTACCAAGCTGAGTGGAAGGCACGAGCAGCTTGCGTGACATTTTGCTTGTTCGTCCACAAGTAGCTGTTCTAATAGTGGATTAAGTTTATGTGCAGTGCTACAATTTTTATTATATTTGCGAGTAAGCCTTTTTATCTATATAGGGGTGATACACAATCATAGTCCGTCATTACAAGTACACATTCTCGAACCAAATTCAAGTGGAAAGGTTCATATAAACATGTATAATCAAAAAGTCTTGTTTTCCAAATACAGGGTGGCAAAAGTTTTAAAAAAATGGTTTTGGACAGAGGAAAAGTGATATCAAACCGTCACGGGAAATCAGGAATATGTGTAATAAAACAATATTTGATTTTATTTTAAACATTTTTTGACATGTAACGAAGTTGTTTTTTATTTCTTTTCTCCAGTAAACATGACAAGGTATATTCATATTCTTGATCCTTTGACCTGCTTTTTATCAATTTTAATTTTGTTATCCAATCTGTTGCTTAAATTTTATTTTTTGTTTCACTTTTAACAGCTAGCTTTTTAATTATGATGTTATTTATTACAATTATATGTCTTTTACGATTTGTGACTTTTTGCAATTGTGTGGTCTTTACAGTTATGTGTTTTCTTTTGATAAGTATGTGGTGTGATGCAGTTTTTATTTTTTTCCTCCACTGATATGCCTTTTATGTATGTTTTGTGACATAATCAATGTCATTTTTCAGTGATCTATTGAATAAACAAAATCTATCTCTCTAAAAGAGACATCCTAATAAAGCATGTTCTCAGCTCAAACTGTTCACGTCCGTTGAAAGCATAAACGGCTGACAAATGTTCTAAGAATATGCGATTTAAGAACATGCGCACGTTAATCTTCATAGCATTTTTTCTTGCATAAGAAATATAAATTTGCTCGCATGCTAGGATTATTCATTCCTAGGTCCAGTCGATGCATCTTCTTGTCACGTGACAGTAACATTCCACCAGGTAATAAAAGGGATATTCCTGACAGGTGTTAAGCACGTTCCATCAAAATCCATCAGGAGATATTGCTACTAGAAAACATTCTTAGAACATGCATAGCAAGTGATTTTTTTTTACTTTCACGCCCTGTATCTTGAAAGTCAGACTTTTTGTTTATAGGAACGTATTTCAACTTAAATTTGTTCATTAATGCGCCTTTGTAACTGAGTGCATCTTTCTTATGAAATTGACACATTTAGTCGTACATGTTTGATTGAAATTTCATTAGATAAACAAGTGTTTGATTTTAGTAGCGCAAACCGGGTCCCTCTCAGCTGCCTTAAAATACTCAGTGATATTGGAATTGTTACACCAAGAAAAAATAATTTCTTCAACTTGATTTTTTTTTGGCAATTAGGTAGTCTTAAATCAAGAATGAAACGATATTTTATTGACATCATGTGTTGGGCGACCTCGCATCTGAATACACTCCTGTATACGTCTAGTCATCGACAAAATGAGATGATCGATGTCTGGACGCGGCACCTCAATCCAAGCAACTCGAACTTCGTGAACTAGCTGAGGCAGAGTCTGTGACGGATGGTGCAAAGTGGGCAGTCTCCTCCCCATCAATCCCACTCATGTTCGCTGGGGTTTAAATCCTGTGAACGGCCACGGCAAAACATTAACGCCTGCTTCTTGAATAAAGTCCGTAGTTCGACGAGCAATATGGGGACGTGCGTTGTCTTGCTGAAAAAGGACGTGTGGACGGCCCTCTAGATACCGCAGTAAAAGAGAAAGGGTGATCGGCTACCATAGGCAATAGCCCTCAGACCACTACTTCAACAGTCCTGTGTACATGCCTCTCAACAGCAAATCCAATATCACGCCGAACTCCACGGCCGCGTCGTACCCTTCGACGACCTGAAACTATAGAAAGGAATATAAAACAATAAATACACATTAAAAAAAATGCAGAATTGCGAGTAGTTCCAAACGAATAAAGGTACATAGAATTATCTTATACAGGGTGGTTCAGTTTATTGTTGCATAACTTTAAGATTTGATAGAACTTTTAAAATTAATGCATAAAGTCTATATAAACATGGGTCGAAAAATGCGTGGCTTCCGAAATACAGGGTGTTTAAATTTACTTTCTAAAATAGTTTTTTTAAATATTTCGAACAATATTTGATGTATAACAGTGAAAATTGGTATACAAGGGTTTTTTGGTACGACAAAACGAACCATGGGCATAGTTTTACTGTAGCCGCTAGAAGGCGCTCTCTACTGTACCTGTAGTGTATTAAAATGACCGAAATTTTTTTCTTAGTGCAATTTTTTGCTTTTTGAATAAAAAAAACTGATTCTTCGCACTTTTCAACATAATAAAGATCTTCTGTGAGTTTTCGTTATAGTTAGC